TGCCCTCCCTCCCTCCGGCCTAACCTCCCGCCCTCCCTCCGGCCTGCCCTCCCTGCTCTCCCTCCGGCCTGCCGTGCTGGTGCAGCGCTGGTGGCTGCCTCGGCGCTAACGTTGAGGGGCGACGGTGCGAGGACCGGGTCGTGCTGTGCGGCGCTCCCGGTTTGTCTTCTAGGCAGGGCCCCTCCCAGGATGGCCATTAGCCCCTGCGAACCGCTGGTCTGGCATCGTGAGGGCTGGCAGGACATGGTTTGGTGGTGGTACCTTTTTATGAGACTCACTCATTTAGTTGAAGACAGCCAACCAGCTTCCAGGCATGCAGGCTGTCAGGTCAGACCTTCAGATTCACAAAGCCTTTCATCACCTCCTAGCAGACCAGAGCCGAGGTTAAAAAGTCTTCTGGTTTCACGCACTCAAGCTAGGCTTGTCTGGAGTGTTGTTCGGTTTATATGTTTGCACAGTGGAACGCAAAAGCTTCTGCCACAGGTAAAACTGGTTTCTCCAATGTGGTCGTACTGAGGCTAGACTGCAGCTCCCTGTTACGCCAGCCTGGGCAGCAGTAGTCGAGTTATTCCAGTTTTTTCCTGTTTGATTTCACAGTAGGTCACCCTTTCCATTGTGCTGACACTTCTGTTTGTGGATCTGCTCTGGAAAACAGAAAATGGAAGTGACTTGATTAAAAGTCCCTCTGTCCGTCCATCCATCCATCCTGATACCAAGCTTGAGAAAAGCAAATGATTCCCCTCTCGTGAAACAACATAGCCAAAATTGGACTGTTTCAAATGCTTTATGGGTAGATGGCCTTAGAGCTTGCTATAAGATTAGACAAAAGGGAATCCATGGGACATTGTATCCTTGAGTAGAATAGGTAAAGAGGATGTACTAGAATAAGCTAGTTTTGTATCAGTGGAATTGAATAACCAAGCCAAAAATGAACTGAGCATGCCCAAAAACGTGAGTTCAACCAGCAAACACAGTGAGGAAGACTACCGATGACCACCAGAGGACCCCAAAAGACCACCAATGGACATAAGTACACATGCATGAAGGACATTTACATATGTTAATAAGCCCCAAGAATAACATGAATATGATAATAATTTGTTGGAAATGTAATGAACATGTATGTCTTAAATCGTATATAATCTTTGTAGTCAAGTAACTTGGTGTGCACGTTAGGTGGAAGTATCCCCTGTGCACCTGGCGCCATAATAAAGAATGCCTCCTTTCTGAAACTCCAAAGATGAGTCTTAGAGAGTTTTTGCAACCAGCTTTTATGGTAACCGTCCATCCCTCCCTCCCTCCCTCCCTCCATCCAGTGAGGTTCGGTATCAGTGCTGTTAAACGGGCAGCAGGCAGTGGAGCAAAACTTCATGGGAAGCTACTGGAACTGTCAAGCTGGCTTTACCCCGGGTGCCTGACCATTGAGCAGCAGCTGCAGTGCTGTGAGGATAGGTGCTTCTGATGGCTTCATCAGGGCTACGCTGCAAGACTTGCCCCATCTTCCTGAAACAGTTAAGGATTCTCAGCTAGTTTTGACCCTATGTGGATGGATCTTCTAGGTCTTTTTAGGATGGTTTGAAATTGCATAACGTTGTAACATGCTGGGTAGTATTTCTTGGTTTGTACAGGACAACTTTATTACTGCTTTTGCCCCTATTTTGTTCAGGATGATTAAAGTATTTCAGGTTATCTGTGAGCAGTTTATTTCAGTGAATTTTAATTTATGTGAATATTGGGGAAATACGTGATTTATTTATGTCATTTTATATGTAATTTGCTTTCTATTGACTCTACAATTATTATCTTTTTTATTATTATTTCAGTCGAAGTAACTGTAGGTATTGAATTCTCTGCAAAGCTGGTAGCACTGCCCAGACCCTCCGATGCTTCTCATGATAGCTGTTTTTAAGAGGCTGCAGCATTCCTAAGATTTCCACTCACTTGTCTTGTGTTTCTGCTACCATTTTCCTAGCAGAAGTTTCTAGCTGGCTGGCGGGCTGACTTATTTTTTTAAAGTTTTGGCTGAGGTGGGTTGGTCCATTTTGAGAATGAGACAAGGGGAGTACTTGGTCTTTGCTAGTGTTAAAATGTTCTGGTCACCTTTGCTCTAAAAGGCTCTGCCTGGAACCCTGTTTTAAGAGGAAAAGATTTGAAATTTAGCAAGAGCAGATGCACATTTTGGATATTCATTTTGCTGTTCCTCTGAAAAAAACGTGATTACTTGGCCAAATGTATCTACAAAAATCAATTTTCATGTGCTTGTAGATTTCTAAAGAGTTCAGTGACTGAAGTACCCAAAGAAATGCATTTCTGTTGCTTCACAGGCAGCGACTCATACTGGGTCATCTTTGTGGAGTAAGCATACACAGTCCAGTGTAGAAAGACTTGCCCTGTTACTCTGAAGCAGACACTGGAACTATTGGATTTGCTTCTGTTAGAGCATTCGGTTTTTAAATCAACAGGTGATGTTCACATGATAGAAGCAGATGTTCTTCTTCGTGGTGGCAAAGGAGGAAATGGAGACCCTATCATGGCTCATCCACCTGAAACAGACAGTGACAACACATTGCAGGAATGGCTAGAAGAGATTGTCAACACAAATAAAGGCATCAAGCTGGATTTTAAGAGGTGCCTCAAGACAAAAAGATTTGTATATTCTTTGCATTCTGACCAATTAACAATTTTACAGGTAGTGCTAACTATCTTTTGGTGATGGTAGACCAAACCTTTTCTTACTGCCCAATTTAGTGTAGTGCACTCCTTCCTAAACAGAAAATGTGGTGAAACAATCAGTATTACTAAATGCATTGCAAGAATAAAAGCTTTGAAAGTGTTTTGAAGTACAGATAATGATTTCAAATTCAATGAATTTGTTACTGAGTTGCTATTGAGCAAAGTTTTCCTATCAGGAAAACTGAAATGATAGTGCCTATCTGGGAAGCTCCTATGAGTTTTCTGCTTGTGCAAAGAAATTGGGAAAGACAGCCTTCTGACTGGGAAGTCAGACAGTGGCTCCCAGGCTGCAAATGGGGCTGAGCCCCCTGTGTCTCTCTGCCTGGCAGCTCACAGGTCTCTCCTGCTGTCATCCAGCTTTCTTGGTGGCATTTGCTACCATGGAAGGAGAATGAGTGTCAAGATTTTTCAGTGAGCTTCTGAAAAGCTTGCTGAAGAGCCAGCTTCTGTTCCAGGTCTGCTGAAGTTCATAATAGTTTAGAAACGTCATCCCATACCAGCATGAATATCTTTATTTTCCCAGAGGTTTTCTTGCCCCTCCCTGCCAGGAGAGGAATTCTGTTTTCTATTCAGCTCGAATCCTAACAATCTGTTGTGGATGTCTCAATTCAAGAATTAGGTGTACTCCTTTGGAATATCTGATCTCATACAACGTCTGATGTGGTGGTAGATTTCTTCAGCGTGGTTTGTAATACAAAAAAGTTGTCTTGCCTTTTGTGTAGTAAGGTGCATGTATATTGAAGTAAATTCAGTTTCTTTGGCCTAGCTTCTTAATTAAATTTTCAGAGGTTCATTTAGAATTTTCACCATTAGCAGTTTCATTGTCTTTAATGGAAAATACACTTGAAAACCTCATGGGATTACCTTGAAAAGTTTGAAATGGGATTCACAGTGAGGTGTGATTTTCAGATATACACCTCTGCAACTCATAACTTTAGCTTTGTCTGAATTTGCATGTACAATGGCTATTTTTGCAGCAGATGGAGAATCCACCTCCACATTAAAAAGAGCGTCATCAATGCTTAAGTATGCTATAGAAATGCAAAAAAAGCTAGATAGTTGTAAAATGTGATTTGTACCTGTTGTTCTGTGTAATGCAATCACAGTTTTCATGTGGAAGTTCATGAAAGTACAAAAAGGTGGGCAGGCTAAATCGTTTTATTATTAACAGAATTGGTAAATGTCTGCCTCAACAGAGAAGGGAAAGGGCAAGAGAAGCAGACATTTGTTTGGTTTTGTTTGTTGTTGGGTTGGGGTTTTTTTTTTCATTTTAATTATTGTTTAAATTAATTTTAAAACATCTACCTCTTATTTTTCCACAAGGAATTTCCAGCCAACTGTAGTGATTTAAAAAAGCTTTTAAAATTATGTTGCATTATAAAAGTCTAATTGTATAAAAGCATTTAAGCACAAAGTGCAGATATAGTCATATGAGTGATACAGATTATGGTGTTCTTTTGAATAATATTTCTTTGGATACCATTGCTGAAGTTTTGAAGATTATTTCAACAGCACTTAAAAAGAAATATTTTGTATATTTCTACTCTGTCAGCTTGATTGACCACATAATCACGTTTCCTGATGGCTTTATCTACAGGAGTGAATGTATTCTGCAAAAGGACTTCAGAGTCCCACTTCAAAAATGCCAGAATCATTCAATATGGAGTCAGCAATATGTTTGAATTTTCCAAATGCTGTGCAACAAAAACAGTGCTGTCTGGGTTTTTTATTTAGTTTGTTTCAAGAGAGCTGCTTTGGACTTTTTACATTATCATGTATTTTGTAGTAAAAAGGAAGGCATTCCACTGGCTTTGACGATCACTTGTATATTGGAAAATGTGAACTGTTCTGGCCTCAGACGATGTGAGAAATACTTAAGCCAATAATATTAACTCAAGCCATTACTAGCTTTTCTCTAAGACTTGAGCTAATACTAATGGAAAGTGTTGAGTGGAGTTCTACTTTGCAGCTTTCTCAACAACAGAAAAGTTGGAATGTACAAAATGACAGGAAAAAACACAGGCAGCTCAAGGGACAGTTTTTGGCTTTAGAGCTAACCTAGTGTAACAGCTGGCTGCCATTCCCATTTTTGGCTGCAAATCCTGACACGATTCATCTGACCTCATCACGAGCCAGGTTAGGGAATAACTTGATACAGAACCATCCCTGCAAAACAGTGAGAACAGTTGTTTACCGCTTTATGTCTCTGAACTCACACACTGCTGCTAAGGTGATCATCAGCACTGGTGTAAAAGAGGTACGATGGCCTTGGAATTGGGAATTGGGGAGACATGGTAGGAGTTAACCATCATCTGTGTTCTTCAAACAGGCACCCGTGGAGCATGTAGCCTGTGGTTTATATCTGTGTGAGCTGGAGCAGTTGTGATCCTCTCCTTGCTCTTCATAGCGCCTTCTCTTCCCCTGGCTTTCCCTGGTGCTCCTATGACACCCAGAGGGACCAGTTTAGGATGTTGAGCAGGGGAACTAACCGTGCAGAACAGCATGAAGAATTTTCTCTTGGCTCAGCTCTTTATCAGGTCACTGCAAGATTTTGAGGAAAAGCTGTAAGATGGCTTATTCAGAGCTTTCTGAATGCATGACTTGCAGGAGAAAACACAGGTCCTTGCCATTAGTAAGGAAATCATAATGATTTTAAATTTCCAAATGTTACATAGAATGTTAATTAATTTGCTGTGAGAGGAGAAAAATGTGTTTTCTTGTAATTCATTCCTTTTCCCCATTATTCCGCATTTCCTTTCCTTTGACAACACTGCTGTTCAGAAAATGTCAGTAGGATAGAGAAAGGTATTGTTTGCCTTCTAGTTACGCTTTTTCTTTTGATTTGAGAGAACAGTGAGAGTATGTGACTTAAGTTACGTTGTTAAATGTTTACAAGTGGGGCTACATTGGTTGCGCAGGTGATTACATCTCATACTTAATAATTAGCTGTAGGATGAACATCTGATGGGCAGACTTCTTCATGCTGCTACTACTATGCCACACTTTTGGGCTGTGGAAACAACCACTACGAAAGTGTTAGAGCTTGCAGTGGCTTCCTTAATTAAAATCCTTCCTAAGAGTTCAATAACATCCAAGTCTTAACAGGTCAGGAGTTAGAAGGGCCATGAGGTAAGAGCTGTGAAGCAGTTCATACTGGGCAGCAGGGAGACAAGAGGCTGGCGCTACTTTACACCAACAGTAAGTGTCACCTCACGGTAGAAAGGGTCCTCAGCATTTGGTCTCTGACTTACAGGGAGAGTTGCATTGACATATCCATCTATATGTGTACTGTACATTTCCTGTCCTCAATCTGAGTGAGGTGTCTCATCTCACCCATGTGTTATTGGTACAGTCTAGAAGCCGTACGGCCTTCCTTGGAGCTTCTTGAACATGTGAAGCAGCATTTGAAGCGACCTGTTTGGATCAATGCAGACATCCTACCAGGACCTAATGGAAGTAATGCTGTAGTGGATGCAAAAGGTTTCCTCGACACTGTCACTTTGTTTTTCCCAAACGTAACCTTATCGCTGGGTTGGACAACTGGCTGGCACCCTGACAAACACAATAAAGGTAAAGGTAGAAAATGTAATGCTTACAACTGCATAGTCTATTTTCTTCAAATCCGTTTCATAATTGATTCAAAATAAGCTATATGCCATCTTCTCAGTTTGAAAATAATAGTGAATGTAAGAATTATTTTCTTTGTTGAAGTATGTTTGATAGTGTGTTATATAGCAATTAGTTCAGTGTTTGAGTCACCATAGAACTGTGTAAAAATTTGATATTTTTCTTGTTAAAATGAACTATTTTGTTCTTCAACTCATTATCACATACTGAGGAATTTTGGGGGACAAATTGCTTAAGCCCTGTTGCAGGTAGCCTGCTCCCTGAATCCTAGGAGGATTGGTATGGCAATCGGAATTGTGGCACATTTCCTGAAGCAAAATAGATTAGCTGGAAATTTGAAACCCTATCAGTGTGCTTTTGCAGTAGATAACTGAAATCAAATTGTAGGTCAGCATTGTTTTTCACATTTCATTTCTGTTGAATAATTGAATTTTTGAAATAAATTTTCCAGTCAGACGTTGTTGTAGGGTCCTTTTCACCGGCTTCCTCTTATAATTCTGATAGGTGTTTCGTTAGGGTGTTTTACTCCAGTGCATGTGCATTTGTGTGCAGTAGCATAGTCCCCACTGATACTGTCTGTGGCCACAATGACAAAATTATACACCGTTCCAATTGTTAATTATTCGTTAGCAAGATTAAGTATTGTATTACAAGGATTTTGTTGTATGTTATACAGTACTTTTGTTAAACTGTATGGTACTTTCTCCAGAGTATTTTCAGTGCAGTAAAAAGTTGCTGGAAATACGTATTGGAAATATTGTAGTAAGTAAACTTTTTTAATAAATGTAACTTTATTCTAAATTTCAGTTTATCACGATGCTAATTAAGGGTATACTGGAAGACATGAGAAAAACAGCTTATTTGACTGATTTCAACTAAAAGTTGCTGTTTGCCCAGCAAAACTTTTTTTTTGAGATTTGGTGCTTTTTTATTTCCAGTCACTGTGTTGCATATGAGTAATTGAGAAAAAAATTACTAACTTGTTATTGAAGTTAAGATTTTAACAGGCTGTAGAAATAAAAGAACAGTTAAATACCATTTTAAATAGCTCCAGTGCTTGTAAAAATCTCCACAGCAGGCACTTCAGGTGTTTTAGGTTGCTTGATTTTAGCATTTTTAAGCACGTGCTTAATTTGTGTATAACTCCAGTCCTACTGGATTAATTCTTTTTTTTTTTTCTGAATTTTTCATCATGTTTTTGTTTCTAAAGGGTCACTGTCAAGTTAAAACTAGCCCGTATTGAAGTCAGTGGTAGCAATGTTTTTTTAGAGAAAGGGCAAAGATACAATTTCTTGGACATAAAAAAGTCACATTCTATAGCTATATGTAAACTAACACTGCAGTTACTGGAAATAAAGATTTTCAAAGTAAATTTTTTTTTCCACGTTAGTATTGCTTTTCTCCTCCAGGACAGTGGATTTTTTATTTATAATAATTTGGCGATTTCATTTTAGAATTATGTGATTTTCACAAAACCCATATTTGCTCTTGTTTTGTCTTAAAACCTAACTGTACTATAAATCACTGTGTCTTCATTTTGATAGAGATTGTATTTGTGAAGAATTCTTTTTAATCAAATTGTCTTGACTCTAGGCTATGATTGGATGATGGTGAAAGAAATGGCTCAGATATGCAGTACACTTTCCCAGCCTGTGACTTTCCCTGTAAGAGCAACATTAGTACGACAGTCAATGTCTGAGCTGTGCTGGTTAATCCAACAGTCAGATAGGTAAGTTTGAGGGACTTTATTTTTAGCTGTCTTTATTATAAAGGCACGTATTTGTTTATACGAAATACAGCACATTTATATGTACATACTTATCCCAATTACATTGAAAATATTTTTTCTTTTAGTTTATCCCTTCAGGTCTTTAATTTCTTCAGTTCTTAAATCGTTTTGTGATACAGAAGTGGTCGCTATTCATTTCTTTAAAACAATAAAATTCCAAAGGCCTCTCTCATTACCTATAATAAGTAATTTTAAATCTCATGTAGGTTTGTAATCCAGTTCTACTATAAGCATTTTGTAAGACTGATGTAGTTAAATAGACTAAGTAAGTTTGATGTTGCAATTTGGAATTAATCCAATTGAAATACTTACATTTTATATATACTCTTTATTGGATTCAGTATTTATATTTTCTGTAGTAATGTCACCTAAAAACATCAAAGGTGATTTTTAGATTAGAAGTCAGTGAGTTCGCTATGAAGCTAATTAATTTTGCTTAGGTATTTGAAATACATTCAGTGCTTTCCAAACGCTGACTTACATTTTCATTTAAAAATTGTTCTTACAAACCCATAACAATTTAATTTAAAATATTATTCACATGTAATAGAATGAGAATAAAGCCTGCTTCATACATATTGTCATCCACTCACCTTTTTCACCTACTCTGCCTGCCTTTAATAAAGTTGTTCCTTAAGCACCAACCAAGGTCAAAACGCAAGACAGAAGATTTAAGACAGTCACTTGTCTGGAAAATTACTAAGGAATTAGAAACAGCAGGATGGACAAATAGAGTGTTGTTATTCTCACTTACAGTGGAGAATCAAGAGAGAAATTAGAATTACACATTTTAAACTGGGAATTTAATTTCAAAATATTGTTATGTTAAGAATATGTCTTGTGAATTGTGGCATTCTCAAATACATCCTCCTTGTATACAAGCATTATTCC